TTCAGATACAGCTGACATTTCACCCCATTTAAAAACCAATTAAAATCGAACTTACTGGAAAATTAAGCATTGAACAAACATCTGTGATAAGAACTACCTAAACTGACAAAAAACAAAATTTAAAATACGCAATAAAACCACACAATAAAGTCCTTGTCCCATCCATTAACATAGAGGAGGCAGGGTTTATGACTAGTGTAGCAGCCATTCACCATTTAGACACTTTGGTCTCACTTTTGTGCAGCAGTTATGTCGTCCATCTTAAATACAATCTATAATAGGCACAGTGGTGCTTAAAGGTAAATGCTAATGTCGGCTAAATGTTGAGACATTTCATTCAAAACCCCAAATGTCAACCTCATAGTGGCATGAACAGAAAACACCAAAGTAACTGGGATACATCAGCTGGGCACCATAATATATAATATAATAAATAATTCAATGCCATGGAGACAATGCTGGACAGAATAATCTCCGAGACTCAGTGAGAGGTATATTACATTTGTGATATACTGGGGAGAGAGTTTATAAAAGTCAGTGTGCTCATATGACCTTTGATTGATGAAACTCTCTGGCTCACTTCCCCTGTGCTTCCCTATTTCTGTCAGTCAATAGTGTGTTCAGACACACACACACACACACACACACACACACACACACACACACACACACTCTCACAGTGGGGCGACACATTGGTGTTGTCAGTCCAGCAGGGTGCTGACTAGCCCAGAGAAATACTACAGAGATACTCGAAAGGGTCGAGGGTGAGAGACCCCTCAGTAATGGACTGTATCTGTGTATCTCCCTCTTTTGTCCTTTTGCTTGTTTCATAGTCATTCAAAAGTGAAGACAAGTTTGTGTTTCAGTGTCTCATTCTATTTTGAGAACACATTTACATGTAAGAATTTGTGGTAATGGTATCTGTGTACATGTGTTTTCAGATTGTAAACCACGTGTACCACAAAATGGAAGAGTCTAGCTGTTACACAGATGCGATGGAGGAGTCCATGTCAGTGGTAAGATCACGTTACTAGAGAGAAAGTATAAATATCACACTGACAATACTCCAATTAAAACAGAAGTTCTATGTCTTCAACAACACTTTGTCAAATGTAAAAGTACAAATGATGTGAAACGCCTCTGTCATCATGATATATTATATTGTATTATTATTAGTGATGCATTGACATGTTAGCATCCATCCATTATCTACTGCACGTATCCTCTGAGGGTCATTAATCCCAGGCAGGAAACACCCTGCACAGGTTGCCAACGTATGACAAACAGCCATTCATGCTCACATTCACACCAACAAGCAACTGGGGGGTCTCAAATTAACCCAGGCTGAATGTCTTTGGGCCTTGGGAGGAAACCCTGATATCTAGAGAAAACCTCCGAGATGTATGTGCGCTGAAAGGCCTGGCTGGTGAACCGGTTCATTCCCAGAGCCATTCATACAAAATTCAACACGGTTGGGTAGTTCAATCTATAACTTTTATATTTTGAATCTGAAATACACAAAGTACAAAATGTAATTTCCCTCTGAGATGTTACAGAATCACAACTAGTGGTCTGCTTTCTTCATTTCCTTCACTGGATAACAAATAATAACTTTCAACATGCTTTACTCATCATTGTAATTCAAACACTCATATCTGATCTCTCTAATAAAAACAGACTTTCCCCAAGGTGAACAACACATAGTGCCTGTCGGCTCAATCACTGCTGGGCCTTGTGCATCCTGGCTCTCATGTGACATCTTAATAAAATAGATTACACTTGTTATGTTAAATATCTACATTTATTTATAGCAAATAATGTATATAAAGTAATGATTGCACATATGAACTGACAGTGAATTTTTATTTTACAAACCCACTCTCTCGTGAGCAACACCATGGGAATAAGGTCTTAATTATAGCCTCATACAAATTCAGGGCAAATGACTGTCTCCATGCCAACAGATCACGAAAATAAACCCTTTCATCTTAAAGAATAAAACCATAAAACAGTAAAACTGTAATTAAATTGAATATGAAGGAAGAAACTGAAAGTGAGGGGTCTGGACTGAAGAGCACAACGAGTAACAAAGCAAAGGGTTGGAACAACCAGGAGACCCCTGCCCCCGGGATGTCAGACTGCCCTGCTGCTCATATAGAAATGAATAATTGATCAATGTCAACGTGTCCTTGATCGGACAAAGACCTAAATGTTATAGTGGCAAAATCTCAAAATCAGTTGTGAAGCCAATATGATAAGATTTCCCTGAGCGTGTCTTTTTTGAAGCACAGGAGGCGAGATATTGACTTCAGGCTGGAGGCATGGATTACTTTCTCAAAATCTGTAACTCTTAAAAACGATTTTAGCAACTGTCCTAACGTGAAGGAAGAGAGATTGCACTACCCTGCAAATTCTGTTGTCAAACGATAAATCAGATTTCAATGTACAACCGAGATTATGAGATTATTTCGACAATATTAAATGCAGACAATCTAGTTAGGGTGGGAGACAAATTGGACATGGATGGATGGATGTGATATACATGAATGTTTAGCAAAATAAGAGCATAAGGAGAGATCTGACAGAGGAGGTGCATCGTTTAAAAAAGCTGCAAGGTTATTTCATATTTAAAGGACAGACAACAATCATGTGAAATATGTATGTAGTATAAAAAAATGGAAAATTATTTGAAAATGAATGATATTGAAAAAGGTTTGACTCTTATATATTTAACACACTTTGGTTATATCATGTGTTGGTCTGTGTTGTGTGGATGCATATTTTTACACCTACTTTCTTTTTCGTTTCTGCGCTGAATAGATCTCTTTGGTTTTACAGTCACAGCCAGTGCATCACTTCTTTGTTGTTTTTATAAGTGACCTCAGGCACCACAGGATTTGACCCCATAAGGGTTTAAGAGTTTTGAATTATTAAAATCCCTCCATGTTCGTTTTTGAACAGCCTGTCTAACTGTCACATACTGAATATTTGTGCAAAAAAAATCCTGGCAGTCCTTTCAATCAATCTTCCTCCCCAAACACAACACACACACACACACACACGTCCATCTCACCCATGTCTGTGTCTTGGAGACATTTGGTTGCAGTCTGTTGTATTTTTAATGTCTTGTGTCTTTCCCAGCAGTGTACGATGAATCTTTAATACGTCCTCCTATGGCCGTAGGAGAATATGACCAATCCCAGCCCACCAGGCCACAAAGGCGCTGAAATATTCACATAGAGGAGCTGCTGAGTGGACGCCTGTTCCTCATAGACTGGTTTTTAAAGTCAGTAACACACCTGCAGTGACAACATCACATCAGGGAACACCAGCACGAAGATCAAGGTTTGAGTGTGTGTGTGTGTGTGTGTGTGTGTGTGTATCTGTGCATCCTCTCAGATCTGTGATGTTTGTTCTTGGCTGCAGCTCTGAAGTCTGTCTGCTCTCACAGAAGCCAAAATCTCAGCTGCTAAATTATTCTCCTGGGAAAACTGAGCATGTTTAATCTTCATATCATAACAAAGAAATGCTCACAATTCACTGCCAATTAAACTTAACATCTATACACGTTCTCCATATACGCACCACTTCCTCTTCCTCTAGTGAAATAAGACAGACTGCAATGCTGTGATCTCCATTTCTTTCATTTGCTATTCATTTGTAGTTGCCCATCTTTAACCCCCACTCTGATCAGATTTTACTTTCATATGGAGGCTTTCCACAATCAAAGAGGTTTTCACTTTCCTTTAAATTCCTCAAAACTCCCCAGTCTACTGTGAGGGACCAGTCAGATCAAAGAGGGATGCTGTGATCAGAGCTTCATGTTTAAGTTCACTACATATGAAGGCTCCAGGTGAGGTTAGAGACCAAACACTTTATGTGTATATGGAGTAAACTGATAGAGCAGAAACATTGTGTGTGGTAAATACTTGTATATATTAACTGTGTGAGCTTGTGATACTTGACAGAGGCTCCAGGACTTCAAGAAAACTGAATGGCTGAATACACAGGACTTAATTAGGTTTCCCCAAAAAGTAAAAAGACAGAATATTAGATTTTTTAAAATCAAAATACATTGGTCAACTTTGTCGTGGTTACAAAATTAAATGGTCATGGAGAAAAAATATCAATGACGGTCATCTGACTGTTTAACTATTTAGTTTGTAATTAACTGTGACCTGTGGTCTCCATAGACTCTATATAAAGATGGACAAAGTGTCTCCACTTCCTCCCACTATCCAGAAAATAGAATATCAAAGTATCCCTGATACAAATGCTGCAATCTACACATTTTTGGAGCAAGAATTTTGGGTCCTGCCAGTACACAAGCTTGACCGATCACCAGTCAGCCTACCTAAGAACTACCTAAAATGACTAAAACCATCTTTAAGATATTTGATGTGTACTTTGACCTTTGAGTTTGCTCATGTCCCGTCCAATAACATGCAGGAGGCAAGATTTATGAATTATACTGCAGCCAGCCACTATAGGTGGCGATCTAGACACGTTGGCTTCACTTTTGTTGAGCAGTCATGTCGTCCATCTTTATTTACAGTCTTTAGTGGGCTCATTTATTATAACGGGACAGGCTCAATCTACTCGATGTAATAAATTTGGACAGCGACTGATAAACACACACTTGTAATTCTGTCAGTGTAAATGTCAAAGCAGATTCCCCCTTTGATAACAGAGGTGCAAATCATTTCAAAGTCCAATATTGTAACAAAATGTGAGTTCTGGGGTTGAAATCAAATTACGAGCTTTTCAGAAGCATGTTTGATTAAACAATGGATCCATTGTCACCCTGAACAGAAAATGATCTACAAGACAACCTTCAAATAAACCTAGATTGTTATTTCATTTGCATTTGTAACAACCTGATGAATATGTTCAGCACCGAGCCTCTAATCTCAGTGACTTCCGGAGGCGTTGATTCGTTGCGGATGACATCAGCTGCGGAGTGAGTTTGCGAAAAAAAAAAACACCGGCGCCCTCTTCTCTCCACGGTTACCGAAGATGACACAATGTCTGCTGGTATAAAAAGCTAGTGCCACTCCTATCAGGGCTCCACTTGTATGTCTGGAGAGAGCTCCCCGGCGCTCTGCTGCGAATAAAGGGAGGAGGCTGCTGCTGCTGGTATCCTGCCTGTGCGCATCTGGAGACAGACACAGAGAGAGACGGAGAGGAGAAGAGAGGAGAGGATGGCCACGCTGGTTCAACCCGCAGAAATGGAGACCTTAGGCAGTCAGAGCAACACCGGGACGTCCCCGACATCCACCGGCTCCTCGCCGCACTTCAACGACGGCAAATTCTACCTGCTGGTGGTGATCGGGGAGATCGTAGCGGAGGATCACCTCAAGTGTGCCATTGCGGACATAGAGAAAGGTGAGAGGGGGCTGTGGGGGGGTGGGTGTAGGCCGCCGAGGGCTGAACTTGACACGTTCATAGCAAGTTGAACAAAGATGTTTATCTTGGTAGTTCATGGTCAAGCTTTAGGATCCATGTAAGCTGTGGATGAACTTTACGCACGATGTTTTTAAGCCAATTACGCATATTAATATACCAGAAGCTCTTGTATTTATTTGGTAAATGTCACTATTAGAGACGTAGAGCATAACAGGACTACTGAACAGCCCCTCCCAGTATCATCTTCATCAGCTGTTGCCCAACAGTCACACTCACCATATCTTTCCACCCTTCCCATCCCCGCCACCCACCCACTTTGTTTAGGAGCGTTTTATCTCATTGTGAATGTTTTTTATCTAAATATTAATAAACTTTAGACCCGATTGTTGTCATCGACACACGTGGGCCAGCTCCTATGAAAAACCTGACAGCAGTGATTCAGCATTTAACCATGGACTATGCGTCATTTACGCATCGTCTCGTATTTCTCTGGTTGCATTTTTCCTCCCGCAGCATCTCTGCCACGCAGCCTTTAACCGGGTGCGTCAGGCTTTTGTTTCAGGAGAGCGAGGAGTCCCAGACGTCGATTCTGTCAGGGCGAGACAATGAGGTTATAGGTCCGTGATGTTGTGGAAGACATTTTGTTTCTCCCGACTGCAGCTGGTTCAATCCGCTCTGTGTTTTGCGACTGTAAATATTATGAACAGTCATAGATAAAGTGCCCGTCCATCCTGTGGGAACATGTCTCCGTCATCATCATCATCAACATCATCCCGCATCCAGCTCTCATCCCACACCGGCTGGTGGGCGTGGCTCTGTCCGCACTGCGGTCCCTACGGAAAGCCACAGGGACCGATCTTCAGAGTGCAGTGCAGCTGCTGTGTAGAGGCCTGTCTCCCTGGCCTGCACTGTGTGTGTGTGTGTGTGTGTGTGNGTGTGTGTGTGTGTGTGTGTGTGTGTGTGTGTGTGTGTGAGAGGAGAGAATGGCGCACTTATATTGTTTATAATACAGGAAGAAGGAAAGCTTATAAACAAGGGGATGAATTCTCTTCCAGTTTGCTCCACTAATAAAAAACGCTAAAATAGAAAATGTTCTATACAGAGATTTAAAAAAAGATACATATTGTTTACATTGTTTACTTTTGTGTGTCACTTCATTAAAGAATAACCAACCAATGAGTCCTTAACCTGTTGGAGGCACAGTGGACATTTTACTTTCCTATAATGTTAACATTCATAGGTTTTTGTGCGGACTCTAAGGTTCATTTAGTAGCTGCTCTGGTGCTTTTAATTGTATCATGTTGTATGATGCTGCAAAACAGATGTAGGTTTGTTATTATGTGATTATAGGGTCATATTTAAGCTTCTCATCCACGTTGACCTCAAAGTTGAGGATAAATGTTTATACTTTTCGTTTTGAATTTGAATTATTTATGTCACATTACTCTTGTTCCTTCACTAGATAATTGATTGGAGACAGAAAAGCTCCATTTCATCATCTTCACCACTTTAATCGATCATTATTGCATTAGAGTGAAATGAAATGTGCGGTTTAAACCCTTAATTCTTCGTTTTAAGTACTTTTCTCTCATGTCAGAAAATCTCTGCTCAGTTCTTCATTAGGCTTCCATGCTGCATTATAGAGGATGAGAGGATGATGCCACCATGACTCAGCTCAGTGGAGTGGAGCCCATGGCAAAACACAAAAAGGGCCATAGATTTCCTATTACAGATGTCTGATAACAAACAAGTAACAAATCAATACGTGTTCGCTCCGAGATTTATTCAGTGAGCTGGAGATAAAGGATCAGTGAACGTGATGTGTGGGTGAGACCTTCTCCCCTTTGGTAAAAATCCATTCCCAAGTTCTTTGCCATGCCTTAACTGTGTTTATGTTTTTATTTTCAGTGGAACTAACATTTTATTCACTGGTGTCTTTCCTTTTTCTTGCTCTTTCTTATCAACTTAACTTATCTTGCAGGGATCCGCTCATGGGACACCAACCTCATCGACTGCAACCTGGACCAGGAGCTCAAGCTATTTGTCTCCAGACACTCGGCCCGTTTCTCCGCAGACGTCAGAGGTAAACCCGGAGACATTTTCACGGATGATAATGATTAAAACCTTAATGGTTCTTATTGCTTTGGTTCCATCAAAGAAAACCTGAGATAAACTGATTTACCAGAGTAAAGTAAAACTGCAACATTGTAAAGATATGTCAAGTATTCTAAATTTTAAGAATAAGCATTAATAGCCAAATGTCCTGAATTAGTCAAAAGCAAAAGTACTCAGTATGTGCATAGTGAAGCAGAGTTTAACATTTTCAAATAC